TAATGTCACCTCATTGTCTCCTTTCAGATCTCAGATGAAGCACATCTTTTCTCTTGTTCTTTGTGATTCCCTGTCTTCCTTATGCAGACTGTGGAAGAGAGAGAAGGCTGAGGTTTATTGGTGGGAGAAGAAACAATCCCATGTCTCACTGCAGGATGTAAAGAACTAAGGAAAAGGGCCAATGTAACACTTTAAATTGCCTGGTGTGATGCACAAGATACTTTCTGGGTTTTTTGAATATATCTCTGAGTACACAAGTATTTATGAAAAGGCCCCACAAGGTCACTGCTGTTCAATTGTATGCTTGAGCAGCTGGGAAAAATAGAGCAGGGGAGTTCAATTTGAGTTTTATAATAATCAGTCTTTTTTTTTCCCCCTTTGTTACAGGGGATTGAGCCCAGGGGCACTTAATCACTGAGCAACATTCCCAGCCCTTTTTATATTTTATTTTAAGACAGGGTCTTGCTAAGTTGCTTAGGGCCTTGCTAAGTTACTGAGGCTGGCTTTGAATGTGAATCCTCCTGTCTTAGCTTCCCAAGCCACTGGGATTATAGGCATATGCCACCATGTCCAGTTAATAATCAGTTTTGAAGCCAAAGTTGCTCAAAACAGGAATAGTTCTCTCAAGTGTTTGAAATTACCATTGACTATTCTGATTGGGGTAGGTGATAAAAATGACAAAAACGTGGGAGAGATGGGAATAACTACCTTTGGTAGCAATTTTGGCTCAAAGTCCCTATTACACGCTAATCAAAAGAGTTCATTCTGGGGCTGGGAATATGACTCAGTGGTAGAGTACCTGCCTGGCATATGTGAGGCCCTGAGTTTGATCCCCAGCACCATTGAGAGAGAGAGAGATTTTTTAGGCTTCTCTGCTAACAAAGAATCTTGCTTTGACAAACAAGTTTGATAAGCCTCTCTGGAAGGCCTAGGACAGGTGTTGGAATGGAGTTGAGAGATGATCTATAGTCCCATGATTTTTAACAGAAGAAACTAAGCCCAGAGTCATTTATGTGGTTGACAACAGAAGTAGCACCATTAGAATCTTCCAGTGGTTCTCTTCTCTGGAGTAGAAAGTTTAATCTCACTGCAACTAGAAGGTTTGGGCCACCTTACTTGCCTTCTTTCTTAGGTTATAAGGTGAACAGTTTTTAGATCTGCATCTTGGTGACTTAAATCCTTGAACTGGAAATAAGGACTTATGCATAAGAGAAGAACTAATCCTCTTACTGCCATGTCTCTTTTCAGAAATTATGGGCCTGAGGAAAATACCAAACAAAGTCTGATGCTAAGTCTTGTTACAATAGAACAACATTCCTTGATTTAGGGATTACTCCAGCAAGTGTGTCCCATCAGAGTCTACAAGGTGGATACAAAATCCAGGGATCAGGGGCTGGGGATGTGGCTCAAGCGGTAGCACGCTCGCCTGGCATGCATACGACGGCACGGGTTCGATCCTCAGCACCACATACAAACAAAGATGCTGTGTCCGCCGATAACTAAAAAAATAAATAAATAAATATTTTTTTAAAAAAAATCCAGGGATCAGCTCATTCATAATCAGCAGTGTACTTTTTAAGATTTTTTGTCTGATAAACCTTGACCCTGTCTGTTTCCAGAACAGAGTCCATAACTCTACTAAGAAAAGAAGGCAAATCATAAAGCCTAGAATTCCAAGTTTTCTCCAGCAATCAGTCAAGAGACCAGTAAAGAAAGGGAGTCCCTCTGCCTGTGGCATTGTCCATACCAACAGGGTCCCACACTCTTATTGTTCCTGCAGATTAAAATAAGGCTAAAAATATCTGCTCAATATCAATTTATCTTACTTTAATTTCCTTAGCTACTGTGGTGGGGGCCTGGGGGGTACAGAGAGGGAGGGAGATAGTGCGCCAATCTAAGAGTAAAGAATTCCTTTGTGGATGTTGGGGACTGGGGTAGAGTATAAGGAAGGATAAGTTTCTCCCATGCTGGGAAGTACAAGTTTCAGATTTGAAACTAAGAGGAAATAAAAAAAGAAACATTCAGTTGCATTTTCATTGGAAAAAAGTTAGGATTTATTTCTGAGTACCTCCTAAAATATGCCTTGCCTTTAACCTACTGAGAGGAAGAGGACTGCCTAGAAGCCAAAAAACAACTAACTAACTGCACTCAATGGCCACAAAGACATTATATCTTGTGCATCACACATCAATATCTAGTGACTAGGACAAGATACAATTCTGAGGCTGCCAAAAAGAGGGTAGCTTCCACTACCCTGAGGCCCACTCCAGAAGCTCCAGTGAAACCTCTCTACTCCCCAATGGTAGGATTATTTTCTTCTAAGACTTTATCTCTGGAGTCACTCATCTGACTGTTCTCATGATCCAAGGGGCGCCTAGATTCCAGCTTTAGGTTGTTAGTAGGGAAGCCTGAAGTCCCTTGCACACCGCCAAGGAAGATTCACTGACTTACTGGCCAGCATTTTTAAAAAATTATTTTAAATATATTTAGTTGTAGATGGACACAATACCTTTATTTTTATGTGGCACTGAGGATTGAACCCAGTGCCTCACACATGCCAGGCAAGCACTCCACCACTGAGCCACAACCCCAGCCCATTCCTAGGCATTTCTTACATGCCTATTAATCAAGGCACTATGCTTTCAAAAATTATCTTACTTAGCCTTTTATCTGGTCCTTTCCTCAAAATCCTACTTAACTAGAAATATTCAAGGAAGTCAGACACCTGTTTTTCATGCTTCTTAAGGACATGTGTACTTTCACACAAGCAAAATAAGCAGCATCAGTGAAGGGAGATAGCCAGGTCCCAATGGTCTTCTGGATGGCCATAGGGATGGAAGGCCTAAAGCTGACAGGTGAGCAGGTCAGGATGCTTTGAGGTCTTAGACCATTAAGACAGGTACAATAGAAGTTACTAAACATGTAAGAATAGATAAGACTCACACAGATAATTTTGCTTATGGAGAGAAGAAAGAGGCCAAATAAGGTATGCAAAGCTGGACACACAGTGGTTGGTAATGCATCAAATCTTCCTGGAAGCAGAGTCAAGTAAATTCTTGATCTGGAGGGGTAAATGGGTTACCTTAGTTCTCAAACATCTCATTTCTAAAAGTCCATATTCCACTTAACATTCTACTGTTCCCAAGACAGGACTAGCCATAATTTAAACAAAGAAAACAAAACAGAAATCCAATAAAAAATTAAAAGTGAAAATCTACAACTCTAGCAGACAAGGGGTAAGGAAATAACTGGGGATGGGTCTATACAAAAAGGCACATGGAGGGCTGTTTTAGTATTGAAGAAGCAGGGAGTGCTCCCCAAGCTTGTAGTTTCATCAGGATGTCTTCCCTAGGGTTTCCTAGATTGCATTTCTTTCTTAGGACTCTTATACAGTGAATCCCTTCCTTCCCAGCCTTGCTTCCCAAGTTCCCTACACTTCTTACCCCAACTAGTACTGTAGACAGCACTCCATTCCAAGTTTCTTCTCTAACACATCTCTCCCACTTTGCTCATTGCTTCCCAGATGTTCTCACCTAGGCCTATGTTTTTTCCTCCAGTCTTCTCAGAACCCCGAGTCCCTCACTTTCTCGTCCTCTGATACCCTCTCCTTTCCCGGCTGTCCCTCTGTTCCACCCTAGCCATACCCACGGAGAAGCCTCGCGCATGCCAGTTGCTCCCTATTCTCAGTCTCCTGGCTTGACCCACCTCCTGTCTTTGGACCCTCAGATCCCTGCTCTCCCTGCCCCAATACTGGGGCCTCAAGCCAAAGTGCCCCAGGCAAGCTAACGCCCCTCCCTCCTCAGCTCACCCCTCGCCCGCCCACGTCTCCCCTCACTTCACGCCCAAGCCCCTAAGGCCCCGCCCCCGTTGCTGAGGCCCCGCCCCCACTTCGTCGAAGCCCCGCCCCTCACTCACCTGAGGCGTCTCCGCGCGCGCGCAGGCTGTTTAGGGTGGGGAAGAGGGGGGCGGGGGTCCCCCACTCTGGCCCGGGTGGCCCAGTGCGGGGGCAGTGGGGTCACTGAGGCGGCGACAGCCAGGCCGGAGCCAGGACTTGTGCACTCAGCGGCGGCGGCGGCGGCGGCTTCATCTCCATCAGCGGCTTCACCTGAGGAGGGACCGGCCCCCCCACAACTCCCCCCTCATCAGAGCCGTTCCCCCCTCCCGAACAACTTCCGGTCCCRCTGCCAGGCGACAGGCAGCTGGGCCGAACGCCGAGCGCCCCCAAGCCCGGGAGACTGCTGGGGAGAAAAAAGGAGAAGGGCTAGGGGAGAGTAGCCGAGCGCCGAAAGATTCAAGTCCGAATGGCTCTGTCGCTCCTAGAGGGTAACTCGAAAAGACTACCCCTTCGTCTGCATCTAATTTGCAAACTAGGTCTACTTTGGGCGCCACACACGTTCTGACACGTCTGACCCTAGTACCGAGGTTTTTAAAAAAATTTTTAGTTGTCATTGGGTCTTTATATAAGGTGCTGAGAATCGAACCCTGTGCTTCTCAGCCCCGCTAGTGCCGAGTTTTGCCCCTGCCCTTCCTAAGACTATTGATGTCAACCTCTTAACATTCTTTCCCTTTCCTGCCAAGCGCATACAGTTAGCGGGATTGAGGGTACCAAATGTTTTTGAAATAATCTCTTCTCTTAGGGGGTACCCCGGGGTCAATCACGTAGGCAACACAGCAGATAACGACGGACCTCAAAATAACAAAAAAAAAAAAAAAAACTGAAGCCCCACTCCTTGACTTCCCAGAGATTGCTTTCCTCCACTTCCCACCTCCTACCAACACCACCATTTGTTGGCTTTGGTATAATCTCACCTGTGTCAATACTTCCCTCTTGCAACATGACAATTCCCCAGGCCCCAGAGGCCCCAGACTCACAATCTTAAATAGACACTTTATTGATGTATTTAGATAAATGGAGAGGGATTATGCCTTTCAATGCCCCCACAAGCCCATTACAACCCAGAGAAGCAGTAGAAAGTAGTATATATATTTTTCTTATACACACCATACACATTCTCTGAAGAGTCCAAGAAAAACAAAATACAGCCTGGACAGCAACAAGCATTTAGAAGTGGAGGTGGCATAGAATGAGAAAATGGTGCTTGGCTCCAGAATTATTTTTCTTGCCTCTAGACCCTTTCTCCAACAGCTCTTATCTTCTGGCACAGGGTTAGAGGCCAGGAGGGGTATGTAACATACTGTCAAAGGAGAGAGGATGCCTGGGTGGGAATGTGCAATGCATGTACACCTGGATATGACTTAGGAAGGCACAGTACAAGTTTTTGATCCAAGAAGTGAAGAGGAAAAGGTTTTTCTGTGGCAGAAGACCAAAGGATGGGTGGGGAAAGGGGTCAAGGTGTTTTCTATAGGATAGTTGACTCCATTCCATGCTCTCATGATGTGACATGGACATGGACACGGTGCCAGGCATTGCTGAGTACACCTCGAAGGTTCCAGATTGGGGCTACTGTGTCTGGCTGCACATTGTAACTGTCATCCACAGCCTTACAAACAATGTTCAATTCTTTTTGTCCAGCTGGCACAGAGGCTTGCAGCTGCCATAGACGCCAGGCCCAGGCCTTCCTGGGTGGTTGCTTTTCTCCATCCAGGTCAGCTGCATGCCAGGTTAGCCCCCCATCCAGGGACACATCCACCCGGATCACAGCCCTGCCACCACCACTCCATGCATAGCCCTTGACAATTACCTCCCCTGACTCTATAGTCTCTCCATCCCGAGGCTCTGTGATGGCTGACTGGATAGGGAGTTCTTGAATAGATGGAGCTGAGTCAAAATCTACAGTATCCCAGTCCACAGATGGAGAGAAGCCTTTATAATCCCGCCGTTGCCAGTGGCTGTAACTTTCCTCTGGCTCCACACTCACTCTGCCCAGCCATTTGACATGGCGGGCACCTACCACACCAGGAACCACCACCCGCACAGGAAAGCCATGGTCACGAGGTAAAGGCTGCCCATTCATCTCATATGCCAGCAATACCTCAGCTTCAGGATCCATGGCCCGAGCCAAAGGGATAGAGGCTCCATAGGCAGTCCCAGTGGGGTCTGAATCCAGTCCCTCAAAGCAGACATGGGCCTCTTTTTCAGAAAGTTGGTGACCAGCCTGGGCTAATACATCACAGAGCCGTGCCCCAGCCCATCGTGCAGTGCTGATGGCCCCTGTTCTCCACTCTAGACCTCTTACTTCTTTGACTTGAGTCATTTCAGAGCGCCGGTTGCCAGCACACTGCAAAGTGACTGTGACCTCATGTTTGGGAAACATGTACAAGTCACACAAGGATAGAGACAGTGACTGACCTCCAGGTGGCCCTACTATATGCAAACGATAGGTGTCTGGGTCCAGATTAGGTACAGGCAGATGATTCCGGGTGAAGAAGATAGGGTTAGGTGTGATGTAGTTTTCTGTCAGCAGCTCAGGAGGAGGCTCCGCATTAAAGGGACGTTGGCTGTTGACCTTTAGGGCTGGATGTCGCATAGGATCATGAGCATAAGGGTCAGATGTTTCCAAGGTGGGTGGTGCACTGTCTTCAGGTTTCAGCTCCCCAATCTTGTACTGAGCCAGTAACTCATACACATGGGGCTGGTTGTGAATAGCATAGAGGGCCCAGAAGGGTTCTAGGGGACCCCCAGCTGCTAGCATCAACTTAGACGGTCCCCCTGGATGTAGTTCCACAAATTCTGTGACATCAAAGACCTCACAGCCCAGAGTTACCCAGATCCCAGTCTCAGGGCTTCTGTGGGAATACACTTCCTCCTTAGTGTACATGGGTGGTGACTCCTGAGAAGCCTGCAGGAAGGGAAGGAATGAAGCAAAAAGAGAGCTGAATATTAAGAAATAACTCTAGTTCACTCCAAACCAACCCACAGTAGTAGCCTTTGGGAAATGAAAGTGGAAGATGCCATCTATACTGTGCATGAAGACAATGCCAGCATGGGCTCTGTGGTAATAGCAAGAACATGAGTCACAGCCTAGGTTACCTGAGGACCCCTTTATTTTAATAATGAAGTCCCTTCTGCACTTACCCTACACCGATGATCATGATAGGCCAATGCTGTGCCAAAGCCTAGCAGGGCCCCCATGATTCTCCATCCCCTAGTGCTGGAATTATAACCAGAGAAGTTCAGGCTGGGGCGCTGGGGCTGAAACGATTCATTTGTAGAGCAGGCCTGGATGCAGAGCCTTGAGGGAGGTGGCCTGAATCTGGAAGAGAGAGATCTTAGTAAGCACATATGGTCATGTGAAAGTGCCAGTGAATGTTTGAGTTCTGTCTCTCCCTGGTTGGTCATTATTGTTGGAAGTTAGTTTCTCTAGGAATGGGTGGGACAAGTGGAATGTGGCTTTCCTTTTCCTCCTTGGCTACCACTCAACTATCTTTATCTGCCAGATAAGATAATCACCTGACAGATAAGATAGTTATCTAGGAGATATGGTAAGGGGGCAAGTCCTGGGATGGGATGGCCTACCTGCAGGCCTGTCGAAGTGCTGAGACCACAGCTCTGTGCAGCAGCAGCATTGTGGTAGAACTGCAGGAGGAAGATTCCAGGATTAAACCATGAAGTCCCTTAAGAGGGGATATTAGGGATGCCTGAGGAAATAGGTGGGAGGATGAAACAGAAAATCAGCAAGGAACTCTCTGGGAAAATAGAGCACTTTAGAGATAAAGATTGTGCTAAGAGGACGGAAGGAAATGGGGGGACAGGTGCTTTTAAAATCACTTATTTTCCATCCTCCAGTGTCTACTTTGTCCACTATAGAGAGCAATACCTGAAGCCAAAGGCCTAAAGGGCAAAAGACAAATGCCTACTGTCCAATTTGCAGTTTGTTTATTTATTTATTTTGGATTGCTGCGGCTCAAACCAAGGGCCTTGCCAATGGTAGGCAAGCACCCTATCAATGAGCTACAGTTCCAGTTTTCTGGAGATTATTTCTAAAGTCAACAGAGGATAACTGAGGGTAAGACTGATACAAACCGGGACAAAAGGTGAAAAAGGTAATGGCAGCCTAATAAATGAATAAACCCAGATTCTAGAGACAAACTACTTTGGGTTTGTAAAGCAGCCCTGCCATTAACCAGTTCCCTGGGCAAGGTACCAAGCCTCTCTGAACTTCTGTCCTCATCTCTGAAATGAGATCTACCTAGAGAACTGATATAAAGAGTGAACAAGCAATAACATTGTCTCTGAAGGTCTTTCTCCTTCTCTCCCTCTACCTCGTGCTCTCCAAATTGACCCCAGCTGGGAATTGGATCCTAATTCCATGTCCCCACCCTAACCTTCTCTATGCCATTCTAGTGAGCTCAGCAAGTTGATGAGTCAATGGCCAGGGTGTCAAGGGATGGGCTGGAGAAAGAAGTTAATTTTTCTCCTCTGTCCTGCAACACATCTTCTTCACAATCCAGTGCCTCTGAGCAGAACACAGACCCAGGAGAGTCTAAGTGGGAGGATAAGAACTGTCCCAGGGGCTGGGGATGTGGCTCAAGCAGTAGCGCGCTCGCCTGGTATGCGTGCGACCCGGGTTCGATCCTCAGCACCACATACCAACAAAGATCCTCAGCACCACATACCAACAAAGATGTTGTGTCCGCCGAGAACTGAAAAATAAATATTAAAAATTCTCAAAAAAAAAAAAAAAAAAAAAGAACTGTCCCAATTGCTAATGAAATGATGGAACCCAACCAGTGAGAGATTTCCCGAGAAATGGGAATAGGAACAGAGACTATACTTTACCCTTGGGTCATGAGACCCTTGCTCACTCTGCCACCTATCCTTAATTCCAGCAGCCTTCTTGGACCAGACTGGAGTTCCAGGTTTGGGAGGGTGGCTTTCTGCTGCACTACAGAAATGCTACACCTTGGTGATGGACCTTTATTCCCCAGGAGCACTTTAGGGTAGAGGATACGTCTAACATTCGGGGGAGAGCAGAAGCCCCTAACTAGCAGCTGGCACAAAAAGTCTGGTATCAATACTCTGCAACCCCAAGAGCATCCGGGCATCGGGAGTGGAGGCAGTGGTACCTTTGTTATCCCTAAGGTTCAAAGACTCCTTGAGACAAAGCCCCAGCAGCCGCCGACCCCTCTCTGCCCCCTCTGCGGCCCTCCCTCCTTTCCCTCTCCGCCGCAGCCTGCTTACCCTGCTCAGTGTCCACACCTCGGCAGTTTTACCAGCCCAGCGCCTGGAGAGTGCTCGCGCAGGGGCGGGGCCGGCACGGTGTGACGTGCACAGAAGCTTATACAGACTCCCTCACGCCCCTCAGCGGGTACCCCAGTCATTGGCYGGTCGCAGGCCGCCTCCCAGCCTCCAGGTCCGCTTGCTGGACGCCGGCCAAGGGAGGCGGCGCGCCACGAGGGCTCGGGACTGAGCTGGCGATGTTGTTTCCACTTCTGCTGCACAGCCGTTGACTTGAGTAGATTACAGCTCCGATGGGCAAGGAAGGGACCCTCGCCGATGTCGGGAACCCAGTGGAAGGGGATGAGGGATCCAAAGATTGAGCTGAAAGATGGGAAGACTGAGACGCCCCGCTTCCCCAGCTGGAAGGTCTGGGCAGAGACCGAAGTTCCCCTGGAGGCCTCCGGATCCAGCTAGTCTCCCGGCGCTGAGTTCCGTCTCTACTAATTTTGACAAGCGTTCGTATTGCAACTACGACAGCCCTGTTTGTCTTTTAGGGAAAACAAGGTCAGTCGCCTAATTCTCTTATATCCAAGAATGACAGCAGAAATGAAGCCTAGAATAGTGGTTCCAAGACGTCGAGATTCCTTGGACTAATTGAATTTTCTAGTTAAATGTATGGAGCCAACAAGGAATAGCCATCTTTTAAATTTTGCGTAGTTTTTAAAAATCATCACCCCTTAACGAGACAGTGGCCCCAAAGTACGAATATTATAGTCTCTTACTTCAATGTGAAGGACACTAGAATAAATTTGTTATACCCTTTTAACATTTGCGCGGGATTGAAATTTTGTCAAACCTAGTTCCTGAGCCTTGAACAAACGTATCCAACACTGCCCTCTAGAGATCAGAGGGTTAATCTTAATCAGTTTTAAGTGAAGATTTGATTAAATTTGGAAGATCATTTCCCTTTCTGCTCTCCACTAGAGTTTTTTACCAGGAATCATGGACTCTGGTTTGTGGTTGGAGGCTGTATTAACAAACAGAAAGGGAAAATGACAGTGAAGACACTCTTATAAAAAGATTTTGGAAATGGAAAGATTTCCAACCTGTGAATAATTAAATCATTGGAGAGACCTGAAGTCAGACCTATTCTAATAGTTGTTTAAGGGAAGGAAAAAAAAAAAAAAAAAAGCACGGGCCAGCGTTGTAGCTCAGTGGTAGAGCTCTCATTTAGCATGTGTGAGGCACTGAGTTGGATCCTCAGCACCACATAAAAATAAATAAATAAAGGTATTATATCCACCTACAACTATAAACATATATTTTTAAAATATTTAGTTTTTAGAAGTAGCTGGACACAATACCTTTGTTTATTTTTATGTGGTGCTGAGGATCGAACCCAGAGCCTCGCACATGCTAAACGAGAGCTCTACCACTGAGCCACAATCCCAGCCCCTAAAAATATTTTTTTAAAAAGGCCTTGTTAAGTGCACATATGAATGTCACACAAACCCCCACTACTATGTATGACTATAATGTACTAATAAAAAATTATAAAAAAGGTTCAATTTTAGGGAAATGCACTTCCTACACCTACTTGTGTGACACATACTTCTTTACTATCSAGCTTAGAGCTCCTCCAATGCTAGACAAGTGCAGTACCATTAATCTATATCCCCAGCCCAACATGATCCAACCCCCTACCCTACCCCAACACTGGGGATTGAACCCAGGGCCTTGCACATGTTACGCAAGTGCTCTGCATTGAGCCACTTCCTCAACTCTTTTTTGAGAAAGAGTCTCGAAACATTGCTGAGCAAATTCAAATTCAAAGTCTGGCCTTGAATTTGTGATCCTTCTGCCTCAGCCTCCCAAGAAGCTGAGATTAGAGGCATGTACCACCACACCTGTCCACAAATTACTTTTTAACTTCACTTTTATTCCTTTTTACAGATAAAGAAACTGAGGAAGAGAGCACTAAGTAACTTGATCAAGGCCACAGCTGGTAAGTTGGCAGAGATGGAACTGGAATGAAGTCTATTTGGCACCAGTACTCCTTAAGACTCTTTGGAATGTAAAACTCTTCCTGCAAACACCAACCAACCAATCTAATCTTTTCTGTTTTATTCCTCCTCACCCTGCCCCCACCCCCTTTAAATTGTGATAGACTGAAGGGCTTCAGGAGTACAGTAGGAGTCAAAAGCAGAAAAATTTTCCTGTTAGGGTGGAAGCTACATGAGCAATCAAAAAAGCTAATTCAGGCCAGGTGTGGTAGGCATGCTTATAATCCCAGCAGTTTGTGAGGCTGAGGCAGGATTCCAAATTTGAGGCCAGTTGTAGCAACTTAATGAGACCCCATCTCAAAATATAAAAAAGACCTGGGGATATAGGTCAGTGGTAGAACACCGCTGGGTTCAATTCTTGTTCCACAAAAGAAAAAACGAACGAAAAGAAAAGCTAATTCAGTAATTTCTTTTTTTAAATTTTCTTCTTTGAGACTTAGTTTTGCTATAGTGCCCAGGCTGGCCTTAGCCTCTTGAGTAGTAGGGATTATAGGCATGTGCCAGCATGCTTAGTTTTTTCTAAACCTGTAGATCATGGACCTCTTTGATAAATTAACGTAGTAATGCATCCTAGAAAAATGCACATACATTTCTGCCTATTACTTCAAAGGATTTATAAATAGAGAATTCTTCCAATCACATCAATGAATCAAGAGATTCATAGACCACATCTCCATACATATATACATCCTTTTTTTTTTTTTCCCCCAGTGGTGCTGGGGATTTAACTTAGGAACACTTCAATAGTAAGCTACCTCCCAGCTATTTTTAAATTTTACTTTGAGACAGGGTCTCACTAAATTACTAAGGCTGGCCCCAAACTTGTGCTCCTCTTGTCTCAGCCTCCTGAGTTGCTGGGATTGTGGATGCACCACTGAGCTGGCAACATACTTATATACATTCTGTTAAGAGAACCTGAAAGATAAAACAGGTTCAGATTTGATAAACTATCTATCACCCTCTTTGAATAGGGGTGATTCAACAGCAATAAAAGAGCTATTTTCTAAATTGGATTCTTCACTGTTCAAGAAAAGATTAAAGGGAATAAGTACCAAGGTACAGAAGAAGGTATGTTTTTCTTTTTCCTAGTACCTGAGAATCAAACCCAGAGCTTCAAGCATGCTAGGCAAACACTTAATCACTGAGCTACATCTTTAGCCATGGAATGTATGGTTCTGATTCAATAAACAGTTGTATGCCCTTTCTTCCAAATTTCTAGAAACAGGAAGACAAACAGGAAAAAAACAATCCAACACTCCGATGCGCTTTTTTTTTTTTTTTTTCCTTTTTTACTTACATTAAATACATCGGTAAATCAGCAGTCGCATTCTGTTACCACGATTGTTATGTTGGGAGAAGAAGAAAGGGAAAGACAGACAAATGCTTTCTTTGGAGGGGAAAAAAAGAGAGAGAGAGAGACCCCCCTCATCCCTAAAATGAACAAAATAAAACAAAACAAAAAAACTGATCAGAAGGAAAGAAAATGAAGAGCTCAGAAATAAAAAACTAAGAGGCCCAAGTCCAATAGAGCTCAAAGGAGGGCAGAAGAGCTGGTAGGAGTAGAAGAAGGCAGACAGGCCCAGAAGCTAAGGCCAATACTGATTCCTAAGGGGGTGAAGGAGGAGAGAAGCCTGGGGAAATGGTTTCCCAGCCCCAAGGCAATGAAACATCTTCACTCCTATTCCATGAGGAAAACCATACAAAGAATTTCATTCTAAGAGACTTGGGGAGCCATTCTAGTTCTTCCACTTGTAAAAAGGATGCACTGGGTACTTGTAGGGAGTGGGGAGGCTAATGGTTTCTGGGAAGGAAAGGGAAATGTATGTTGTTTCAGGGCCTTGGGAACTAAGGCTGCCCCTGGAAAAGGAAGGGAATTGAGGCCTAAGTGGAAGAATCTAAGCTGGGTCCTACAGATTCTCAGCTTCCTGGTTTCTCAGCTGGCCTGGGACACTCGTGGCTTTTCCTGTGTTTTTTTCCCCAAAATTTCTCCAAAACTCTAGGCCAGAACAAGAAAGAACTTAGAGTTCTCCCTTGCCTTGATGGCTTCCCACAGACATCTAAAACACCTGATGAGGGATGTGAAGAGACATTAGAGTTTAGAAAAGACCAAGGTCCTCTGATGATGTGAGACAGCTGTGAGGCACATTCAGTGCTAGTCACTTCCTGTCCATAGGAACAGGTGGTATGATATGAAGGGACCATAACCAGGCCTCTGTGGTACTAGCCCCTAGTGGTATGTGGATTAAACTATTGGTTGGGGAGGGTAGGTATGGAGATAAGGATGGAGGAACTAAACTCAAGATACTAACAAAGGAGAAAAGGGATCCTGATGGGAGGCAGGGGATAGAACAGACGTGTATAGTGAGAATAAAGATTATACCTATTTACAAGGAAGTAGAAAAGACATGGTAATGGATAGCAAATTGAATGTGAACCCTGGGAAAGGATATAAAACTACTCCCTTTTTTCTGACCTCTCTTACTCCCCTACTTTGGCCTATGCTACTCTGAGGCCACTCCCCAACTGCTCAGTTAATTCTCCAGGAAAGGCAAACCTATACTCACGAACTAGGTTGGCAAGAATATAGGTTAAGAATCAAGAGTTGGAGGAAGCCAGCAGTGGAGACTGGGCTTGAGTAGCTGCCACTGGTTCTGTTCTCTAAAGCCCCTCCCCAAACCTCATATACTTCAGATTCCATTTACTTAAAAAGGAGGGAGGGCAGGTAAATCAATCAAAACTCCCATAAAACAAGTATCCCGACTGAACTACCATTAATTAAAGTGCAAACTGCAGGGGGATATGGTGGCTAGGGCTGAGGCCATCTAAAGGCCAGAGGAATGGGGGAAAATGCATATGTATAAATCAGAGGATAGGTGTCAGAAACTCCTCCAATTAGATCACAGCAGAGCCAAAGATGCAGGCAACCAGTGAAGATTCTTTGGAGGACTCTAGGGTCTAGTCCCCACTCTAGGGGAGAAGCTACCTAATAGGCTGGGTGTGAGGAAACTGGGCCTTGGAAGAGTTCCAGAGCCACATCACCTCCACTTTGTCCAATTAGCTAACAATATGACTCCCACGTGGTACCTGAGAGCTTGCCTCTCTATTCTCACCTCTATCTAGGAACACCCTCCACAGGGCCAACTAATGTATGCTGCAATGTTTTCAAACACGAGAAACTCCAACCATAAAAACAAAAAGGAAATGTTTCCTTACTCCCTCTTGCTCTGAGCTTTTACTCTTCCCCAGGGCCATTAATATGACTAAACTAGAAATCTCCCTCCAGTTCATGGATTCACTACCTTCTCCATCCTGGGGAGAGGAAGAAAAGAGGATGAAAAACAGGGACTGATCAAAAGTAGAAGGGAGAAGGAGACAAAAATGTTTTCTGCAAATATGGGAAAGAACAAGGGGGAGGAGGAGGAAAGATCAGATCACTGTCTTGCACCTATAATACAAAGTGAAGAATGTTTGTTTTGGAAGTTAAGTCCTGGGGAGATATGACCCCTAAACCCCAGAGTAGGGGGTAGGAGGCCAGTGGCAACAGCTGCCTGGTGTTGGTTGCTGAAGCGTTAAAAAGTGCCATGACGGAGCTGTCAGGAGGCAGCCCTTGGGAGCCAGGGCTCAGTGTGCTGTTACCGTAGGGGCTGTGTGCTGAGGGGTGGGGATGGAGGTTATTTCTTAGCTCTCGTGCTAGCTCCATACTCGTTTGCTGCTAGCCACCCCTCAGTTGCTACAACACTGGCTCTTGTTCTGCTGGGAAGGCTCATGGAGATCCACACCCCGACTTCGGCCTGCTGTACCTCCCAGATTCTGGGGTTCGCTCTTTGGCAACTTCTTAGCTAAAGAAAAAAAGAGAAAGGAACAAAGTAGATTTTATTTACCCCATTCACACATACAAACAAACACAGGCTATTGGGTACAGGAAAAATAGAGGGAAAAGAGAGATTAAAAGAAATGTCCTGAAGAGGGGAGAGTTCACTATTTGCAAAGTACATTGAACACAAGGGAGCTAAAGCTGCAGTCAAAAGATGGAGATTACAACAGAAAGTTAAAGTATTTTTAAGTTTTTTCATTTTATTCTTTTGTGATGCTGGGGATCAAACAGGTCCTCGTGCTCCTAGGCAAGCACTTTACCACTAAGCTATACCCCCAGTCCCATACCTAAAGTTTTTACAAAAGCAGACATTTCCACCTATTCTTGATTTGGGTCAGTGATGATTTTTACCTATAGACAAAGGAAAGATAGGAAAACCTCAGGGTGGTCTGACTTTACCTATTGCCAGGAAGAGATCATTCACGTTCATAGCTGTCTTGGCTGAAGTCTCCATAAACAATAAGCTGTTGTCATCTGCATATGCTTGGGCCTCCTGGAAGGATGAGTGATTGGTGTTCAGAATGCAGAGAGGAAATAAGTATTGCTTTTTTTCTTTTTTTGTGAGGGGTACTGGGGATTTAACCTGGGGTGTTCTATCACTGAGCTATATCCTCAGTCCTTTTTATTTTGAGACAGGGTCTTGCTAAGTTGTCTAAGCTGGCCTTGAATTTGTGGTCCTCCTGCCTCAGCTTCCCTAGTCACTGGGATTATAGGAGTGGGTCATTGCACTTGCTAAGTATTGCTTTTTTTACTCACATGTAGCACCAGAATTAGGCAGTGTCCCTCCCTTAATTAATGCCCCGTTTCTGCCAGGTGGCCCTAGACTCATAATTTAGTGATGACTCCCTTAAGATAAACCCATGACCACTCAGTTGAACAAACAGATGTCAGGATCTTAATTATAGAGAAGCAAGTAAGATGGTGGGGGCTTTGGATTCTGACACTTGAATAGTCCCCTTACCTCAAATTTAATTGCCCCCTCCTTCCTGTTTTCACATTGGTACCCAACAGCTGGTACTTCTCTATCCCTCTGATATTTCCTTCTGAATCCTCTAAAAATCACTTGGCTGTAATTAGGGTCACAATGTTGGTGTATTTTTATTTTTTATATTTTGGGTAGGGGGAGAGGAAATGCTAATATTGATTTTATTATTATTGTGTTTTCTTTATGCTGGGGATCAAACCCAGGGCCTTGTACATGCTAGGCAAGCATTCTACCACTGAGCCACTCACTTCCCAGCTGTATTAACTTGGTGTTCAACTAGGGAATGAGACAATGAATGTCTTCAGATGAGATTTTCAGAGTGTTAGTTTGGAAAAGAGGTCCCAGGTACCGAGGGAATGTGTTCGAGAGGGATTCTATGGGCCCTCTTACTTCATACTCCACCATGCGCTTGTTAGCCAGGTCTGCTTTGTTCCCTGCCAGGGCAATAACGATGCTAGGACTGGCCTGTCGCTGTAGCTCCTTTACCCATGTCTTCGCCCTGGCAAAAGTTTCCTAGGAAAGCATGAGGAAGAGAATGTATGGGCTGCAATGGCTGCCAATCAACAACCATCACCTTCAAAATCTGGTCTCACAACTCACCTCTTCTAGGTGTGTTTCCCTCACTGAAACCATAGGTCTCTGATAATTCTTGACCTCAGTCTTCTCAGCACTTGGAAGTATAATTTGTATTCTTATTTTTGCTATTTCAAGAACCAATTTCCATTCCCCCAACTAATTTAATTCCTATAAACAAAAGTAAGGACTGTCTTCTTAGCCCACTTACCTGATTAGTAATATCATAAACCACAATTGCAGCTTGGGCACCCCTGTAGTACATGGGAGCTAAGCTGTGGTATCGCTCCTGCCCAGCTGTGTCCCAGATCTCAAACTTGACAGTTGTGTCATCTAGACAAACGGACTGGGTAAGGAAGGCCGCTATGGATTAGAGAATAGAGGGGAAGAAGTTGTAAGTGGGAGGATGAAAGGGAATATCCCGCCCACCTTCAGAGTATTTCTCCATTCTCCATCTAAGGCTAGTCATTACCCATGTCACTCAGCTACAGGAAAAGGTTTAGAGTTCTCACATTCAAATAAATCCTGGAGCCAGGATTAAGACTGCCTTTAGCCAAGTCCTTTCTGCCAAAAGTTTTTCTGGCTGGTGGGTGCAAATTGAAAACTATGGAGGGGAGAAAGGATCACTGCAATTATACCAGTCAACCCTCTTCTAACCAAAATAAGTGTATAACAAATAATGGGAGGGATAATAAGCTTCAGATAAAAGTCACATCATGAATTAATTAGAGGAGGTGGGGTTGTGGCTCAGTGGTAGAGCACTTGCCTAGCTTGTGTGAGGCACTGGGTTCAATCCTCAGCACTGCATAAAAACAAATAAATAAAGGCATTATCTAATACTAAAAATATTTTTTAAAAAATATGGTAGAGCGCTCGCTTAGCATGCACAAGGCACTGGGTTCGATCCTCAGCACCACATAAATGTAAAATAAGATATTGTATCTACCTAAAACTTAAAAAAAAAAAAAAGAATTAGGACTGGGGTTGTGGCTCAGTGGCAGAGCACTTTTGCCTAGCATGTGCAAGGTCCTGGGTTCGATCCTCCATACCACATAAAAACAAATAAATACAATAAAGATATTGTGTCCAACTACAACTAAAAAATAAATATTAAAAAAAAACATTTAAAAAAGAAAGAAAGAATTAGGGCTGGGGATGTGGCTCAAGTGGTAGTGCGTTCGCCTAGTGTGCGTGACGCACTAGGTTCGGTTCTCAGCACCACATAAATGTGAAATAAAGATACTGTGTCCACCTAAAAACTAAAGAATATTTAAAAAAAAAAAAAAGAAAGAATTAATTAGAATTGGGGCTGGGACTGTATCTCAGTGGCAGAGTGCTTGACTTACATGTGTGAGGCACTGGGTTCAATCCTTAGCACCACTTAAAAAAAAAAAATCAAATAAAATAAAGGCATCCTGTTCATCTACAACTACAAAACAACAACAACAAAAAAGAATTAGAATTGTGATTGTGGCTTAGTGGTAGAGCGCTTGCCTAGCATGTGTGAGGCACTGGGTTCAATCCTTAGCACCACTTAAAAAAAAAAAATCAAATAAAATAAAGGCATCCTGTTCATCTACAACTACAAAACAACAACAACAAAAAAGAATTAGAATTGTGATTGTGGCTTAGTGGTAGAGCGCTTGCCTAGCATGTGTGAGGCACTGGGTTAGATTCTTAGAACTGCTTATAAATAAAGGTCCACTGACAAATTATTATTATAGATAATTTAAAAAAAAAGAATTAGAATTAATGGCAGATCCCATCATTATTAATATTATTTGGCTATTGTTTTCTCATGTAATCTGGTACATGTCCAGGAAAACCACATTTCCAAGGTGATTAGTGAGAAGAGGACAGAGTAATATGGGAATTCTCATAAAAGATCCTTTATTGAATTAGTACCTTATTTTGGCTTATTAGCAGGGAGATAGTAGTAAAGGTAAAAAAGGCAGATGCCCTTTTATATTCCAGCCTCTATCTGATCAGATATGTACATCAGATCACCTAAAGAACTTCTCCAAACACTTGTCTGTGCTGCTACAACCAATTTCACCCTACCTCCAATATTAATCAGTAGATTTAGGGTATACCTAAACACACATAGGTAAAAAATACTCCCAGGTTAGTCCACCCAACCCACTATCCCATACTAGGGATTGAACTCACGGGTGCTCTACTATTGAGATATACCAACAATCCTTTTAATTTTTTGAGACAGGGTCTCTAACTTGTCCAGGCTGGCCTAGAACTTGTGATCCTCATGTCTCAGTATACTGAATAGCTGGTATTAYGGATGTGTGCCACCACTCCTACATAATACTGATACACATCTTTTTTTTTTTGGGGGGGGGGCAGTGGTATCACAGATTGAACTCAGGGGCACTCAACCATTGAGCCACATCCCCAGCGCTATTTTGTATTTTATTTAGAGATGGGGTCTCACTGAGTTGCTTAATGCCTCAGTTTTTGCTGAGGATGGCTTTGAACTTGAGATCCTCCTACCTCAGCCTCTAGAACCACTGGGATTACAGGCATGTGCCACCAAGCCTGGCATATGACATACATCTTGAATTATGACTCACTGCTCCAAACCAACTTTTATTTGCTTAAGATGACACTCAGCTGAATTTCATGGGATTAAGATGATATTGAGGAGCCAGTTGCAGTTGCATATGCTCGTAATACCAGCTACTTGGGAGGCTATGCCAGGAGGGTCAAAGTCTGAGGTCAGCCTTAGCAGCTTAGTGAGACCCCATCTCAAAATAAAAAAATAAATTTAAAAAATAAAAAAAGACAAAATGAGATGTTCTCATAGAAAATGAAAGGATGAACAAATACCTGATTTTTGGCATTTTGACAATTTTTTTTTTTAAAGCAATACTGAGGATTAAACCCAGAGCCTCATGCATGCTAGGCAAGTATTCTACCACTGAGCTATATTCCCCCAGCCTGCTTTTCTTAGTTTTCATTCCTGGGGGAATGAGAGGAACAGTTCCACAATCAGGTCCTAGATCTCCTATTCAAAAGTCTTACCAAGCTTTGAGCTTCTTTCCCTGAGGTACTTACCTCCAATAGTACTCTCCTGGTACTCATGGAACTGTCCTTTGACAAAACGTAACACCAGGCTAGATTTCCCCACTGCAGATTCCCCCAGCAGGACCAATTTGAACTGGCATATTTTGCTGGTTTGAGGCTGCCCATTGGGCCTGGCTGTGCTTCTGCTAGTCATGGCCAGATTATGAGAATGGGAAAGGGCAGAGGGAGGGGGATGCCACAAAGCGGCAGAGGGGGGAGGGGAAAGGGGAGGGGACTTCCAGGCTTCAACAGTCCTGCAAGAAAAAAAGTGAGTAAAATTAGACGCAGATTGCAGTTGCAATCACTTTTTAGAGAAAATTCAGAATCTTTTTTTTCACCTATGAGAGGTTAGCTCTTGTAATCATCCACTACTAAAAGACTATACCTCTGAGAAGGACCTAGGCAGCTCTGAAATTCAGTGCTAAGAGTGGAGACAGTAAAATAAGAACTGCTTTTGAAATAGTTTGCTCAACCACAAAGTCTCCAACTGCCAAGGGAGCTGAAATGGAAGAACTGAAAACTGAGATTTTAATCCCCCATTATTTCTCCACCAGGTCTTCACAAAGTTTTTTTAAAAACAATATCCAGACCCACTCACAGGATTCCCAGCAGCTTCTTGGTATTGTGATGTTGTGCTTTATTCTAGCTCTCAAAATAAGAGATTCTACTCTAGGAGTGGGTTAAAAGTCACCCCTCCTAAGGGTAGAAAGGTAGTTTCTGGTTCTGTATCCTTCACATATGAACAGTCTTTTTGCAAAGTCATTTATTAAGATCTAAGTCAGGGGCTGGGGATGTGGCTCAAGCGGTAGCGCGCTCGCTTGGCATGTGTGCGGCCCGGGTTCAATCCTCAGCACCACATACCAATAAAGATGTTGTGTCCGCCGAGAACTAAAAAATAAATATTAAAAATTCTCTCTCTCTCCTCTCTCACTCTCTCTAAAAAAAAAAAAAAAAAAAGATCTAAGTCAGGGGCTGGGGTTGTGGCTCAGTGGTAGAGCGCATGCCTTGCACGTGTGGGGCACTGGGTTCCATCCTCAGCACCACATAAAAATAAAATAAAGGTACTGTGTCCATCTACAACTTAAAAATATTTTAAAAAGAAAAAAAAGAAAAGATCTAAGTCAGGCACAGTGGCACATGCCTGTAACCCCAGCAGCTTGGGAGGCTGAGGCAGGAGAATGGAGAATTCAAAGCCACTCTTGGCAAAAATGAGGTGCTAAGCAAGTCAGTGAGACCCTGCTTCAATAAAATACAAAATAATGCTTGGGATGTGGTTCGGCGATGAGTGCCCCCCCCCCCCCCCCGAGTTTAATCCCTGGTACCAAAAAAAAAAAAAAAAAAAACAGGGAGAGAGAGAGATCTAACCAGGGTCCGTCCTTTTTTTTTTGAGAGAGAGATAATTTTAATATTTATTTTTTAGTTTTCAGCGGACACAATATCTTTGTATGTGGTGCTGAGGATCAAACCCGGGCTGCATGCATGCCAGGTGAGTGCACTACCACTTGAGCCACATCGCCAGCCCCAGGGTCTGTCCTATTACCAGGCAATTTCCTTTCTCATTTCTGGTCATAGGTAAGGACAGAAACACAACCAACAGATCACATTTGGTATCAACTCTGTTTCTGCCACCTCTCTGAATCTGAAAATCTATCAGATCCGAGTCAGTAAGCTTCACCTACTGACAATTTGCAGCTGTCTGCTGGTGCCTAGGGATTAGATTACCCTCCACACCAAAGGGGACTAACAGTTGTAGCTCTCCAAACTAGAAGCAAAGTATACCTTTTAAACATATGTAGGAGTCTCTAGGGGGTGATACAGACAGAGGATGTCTTTAAGTAATCAATGTTTAAAGAAAGAGTACTCTTGAATCAACTTGTCTACCTTTCAAGGGGGCTAAGAAAGTTGGTGTTGGCAGGGGGGGGCAGGTAGAGAGAAAAGTTGGGGCTTTTAAATTCTAATCAACCATTCCAATTCATCATAGGGGGCTAGGGCGCTAGCTTAGTGGCAGAGCACTTGGCTTGCATTTGAGAGGTGCTGAGAATCTAACCCAGCCAGCCGGATTCCATCCTCAGCACCACATAAAAATAAACAAATAAAATAAAGGCATGCTGTCCATCTACATCTACAAAAAACAAACAAACAAAAAAAACTCATCATACTGACTCTGAGGGGAATGTAAGGGAGCTATGAAATTCCAAGAGGAGTTAGCATGGGCAGAACACACAAAAACCTCTTTCCAAAACACAAGTATTACCTGAGTTATACTTTGCTTGTTCAAATTAATCTTTCTCTTTTCCAAGTTTGATCCTAGTGACTTCATAGACATCATACTCTTATATGTGGGAAAACACTACAGTGAGCAGCTTTCGTGTCAAATTAGTGTTAAAAATCTCAGCAATTCTATTTATTAAAGACACCAAGATAGAAAATCATACAGGAGACAACGCAGAGGAATAAAAGCTCTTAATTCCAGTTTTCTGGGTTTGTTTTCCGATTCTACTTAATGGCTGTGAAACTTTGAGCAAATTGCTAAATATACGTGTACATTTGTTTCCTCATCTGTATAATGGGATAACAGCTTTATAAGCAACTACTGCATAAGGTTGTAAAGATTAAATGATGGGGCTGGGGTTGTGGCTCAGTGGTAGAGTGCTCACCTAGCACATGCAAGGCCCTGGGTTCAATCCTCAGCACCACATAAAAATAAATAAATAAAATACAGGTTTAAAAAAAAAAAAGATTAAATGATATTTGTATCATTATTAAATGAGTTCTTTGGAACTCATTTAAATAAGTATTTGATATAGACTACATGCTCAATAAATATTGAGCTACTAATCAGTATCAATAAGACATGAAGAATTTCTTTACATCTCTAAGCCTTACTTTCCTCCACTAGAAAATGAAAGAAAAAAATACTATCCTCATAGAATAGGCTATGGGGATTAAATGAAAGATGTATTTAGCATAAAGATGTAGTAGCTAGTTGTTATTAAATAATGGCCCTGCTTTCTTTACATCCAGAAAAGATTTTAAGTTAATAGTTCAATGTTAGTTATCAATAATATTCCACACACAACACACACACACAAATTTTTTTTAAAAAAATTTTGTACTAGGGATTGAACCCAGTACAAAATTAACCACTTAACCACTGAGTCACACCCTTAGCCTTTTTTTGTTTTATTTAGAGACAGGGTCTTGCTGAGTTGCTTAGGGCCTCGCTAAATAGCTGAGGTTGGCTCTGAAAAAGGTACAAAGAAAAGAAAAAAACAAAAAGGTTAAAGAAGATTATGACAGAGGTAAGAATTCAAAGTCCCAAAGTAGACTAATTTAGAGGAATATCAGAAATCACTATGATCCTATTGGGTATTCTGTAGTGTCCTAGGCCAAGGAGTTCTGAGAATCCAGATATACATGTACATTTTGTCATTAAGTTTTCATTGGTTTATGATGAAATGATCAAAATAAAGAGGATATAGCAAAATTTTCATTAAGCTAAATTTATTAAGTTTGTATATTCTTATGAAATTCCTAATTCTTGGTTTCTCTATAAGTTTTCTCTGGAAAAATAAAACAAAACACAAGATTAGATCCTATTTCTGTGTAAAAAAAAAAAGGTATGGAAGGGGCTGGGGTAGAGTGCTTGCCTAGCATGCATGAGGCACTGGGTTCGATCCCCAGCACCACATAAAAATAAATAAATAAATAAAATAAAGGTATTCTGTCCATCTACAACTTAAAAAATTAAAAAAGAAGAAGGTATGGAAGGACACACCCTTGTCTATTAACAGTAGTCACTTCTGAAAAGAGTAGGATTAAGCAAGGCATGATGGCACACACCTGTAATCCCAGCAGCTTGGGAGGCCTGAAACAGGAGGATTACAAATTCAGCGGGGCTGGGGATGTGGCTCAAGCGGTAGTGCGCTCGCCTGGCATGTGTGCAGCCCGGGTTCGATCCCCAGCACCACATACAAAGATGGTGTGTCCGCCGAAAACTAAAAAATAAATATTAAAAAATTCTGTCTCTCTCTCTCTCTCTTAAAAAAACAACAACAACAAAAAAAAAAACAAATTCAAGGCCAGCCTCAGCAATTTAGTGAGATCCTGTCTCAAAATGAAAAATTAAAAAAAAAAAAAAAAAAAAAGAGCAGGGGATGTAGTTTAATGGTAAATTGCTCTTGGTTAACTCCCCAGTCTCCCACCCCACCCCCAGCAAAAAAAGTTAAGTTTAAGGTGAGAAATATATTATGGATTCTAAATTTTTTTCCTCTCTAAACAATCCATTTTTTAAAAAATAGGGACACACAACACACACACACACATAATTAAAAAAAAATTTTTTTGTACTAGGGATTGAACCCAGGGGCACTTAACCACTGAGTCACACCTCTAGCCTTTTTTTATGTTTTATTTAGAAACRGGGTCTTGCTGAGTTGCTTGGGGTCTCGTTTAATAGCTGAGGTTGGCTCTGAACTCTTGATCTCCCTTTCTCAGTCTCCTGAGCTGCTGGAATAACAAGAGTGCACCATAGTGCCCAACTAGGGAATATATTTTTAAAAATAGTTGTCTAAAGAAAAAACATTTTTTGGTACCAGGGATTGAACCCAAAGATTCTTTACTAGTGAGCTATGTCCCCAGGACTTTTTCTTTTAGAAAAAAAAATGTGTCTCTGTTTGTGTTTGTGTGTGTGTGTATATATATATAAATATAAAATGGACACTTTTTTATTTTTATGTGGTGCTGAGGATTGAATCCAGTGCCTCACACATGCCAGGCAAGCTCTCAGTACCACTGAGCCACAACTCTATCCTTTTTCTTTTATTGAGACAGGTTTCACTGAGTTGCTAATTTACTAAATTGCTAAGGCTAACCTTGAATTTTCGATCCTCCTGCCTCAGCCTCTAGAGCTGCTGAGATTACAGACATACATCACTGTACTGAACTATCATGTTGTTATGTTATTAAAAACAAAACAAAAATACAGGTCAAGAAATATCAAGCCCAGCATGGTGGTGAACACCTATAATCCCGCTAAACACAGTTCTTTAGCTGTTCTCCATCTTCAAACCTTTAGGGCAGTGTTTCTCAAACTGTGGGCTGTAAGACAAAAGTGACCTTGACATCAGTTGATGGGTTACCATCAGTTTGTTTTTTGTTTTTTTTTTTTAAATTTTTGCAGTACTGGGGACTGAACCCAGAGCATTCTCTCTCTAGCCCTTTTTCTAAGACTGGTTTTCACTAAATTGCCAGG